GGGAAGCCTGGTCTGCCTGGGGGTCCCTGTTCTCCCTGTGGTCCTGGGGATCCTTCTCGACCAGGCTCTCCCGGTGGTCCGGGAACTGTGCGGATTGACACCGGAGGACTCGGCACGTGGTTCAGGATGCTGTTGTAGCGCGCCATGTGGCCTGAAAACAGTTCAGTTCAAACATGATTAGTATTATTATTATTATTATTGTTATTATTAACAAATAAAGGTTTGGGTTTTTTTAACTCACTTTGGATCAGCTGCTCACAGACCTGTCTGGCAATGGCCTGAACTGATGCTGTCGACTGGAGATCTCCCTGAAAAAACACACGATGTTCATATAACATACATGTAGTTATGTGGGAGTGTTTTTAATGATTCATATTCTGTGTTTTATGAAGGCGTTACAGACTCAAATTATTAGGACTGAAATCTACTCATAAATCTGCAGTCGTTTCTTTTTCAGCTGCTAGTGTCAAATTTTTAGTTACAGCAAGTTTAAAGTAAATTTATTGTATGAAACTCAAATACACACATATTATATTTACTTATTGGATGATGTTGATATTTCATTATTGTTATCAACGAAGGAAACAGTGACTAATGTTTACTGCATATTAATAAAACATATATTAATACTTTGATGAATGTCTGCTGTTAGTGTATCCTTGAGTTTCACATATATCTCTATGTGCAGGTCAGCAGACAGGACGTTTGTGACGGAGGTAAAGTAATAACATGAAGACAGAGAGCTTACCCGTTCACCTTTCTCTCCCTTAGTTCCAGGAGGTCCCTGCAAGAGAAACGAATCCATGAAAAACCTCCAAACTTGTGAAGCATCGAACACAAGATGAAGCAGGTGATTCTCTCGCATGCTGATCATCTTGCTGTCCTGATTAAACTGCAGCCTGCTTGTTTTTGTCATTTATTTAAAATATTGGAAATCTTTATCTATATGAATAATAACTAAAAACATAATTTCAAATGTTTATACTTTTCAGTGTTGACATGTCTCAGAGGGAAACAGACACTTCATAAATCGAGGGGATTTGATTTCAGGAACGTGTCGAGACCAGCGAGAGGCCTACAGCAGCGGTCCACCGCTGGCCTACAGGACTGTGATGGTGATACTTTTGTCGGGAACGTTCCCTCTCAGAGTCTGGGGCAAATCTACATGAAACATCGTTAAAGGGTTCAAATGTGTCGACACGAAACAGAGAATATGAATATTTGTGCAGCGCTGTCACTTAACGCCGTGTTTATGATAATAACAACGAAACAAACATCCAATAAGAATGTAGAACAGCTTCTAGAGCTTCAGATTGGACAGGAAGCTGTTAACCAGACGCTCACCTCGCTGCACTCTCAGTGTGACTCTGTCGAGTCAGCTGACAACACCCGCTGCGTCTGTTCACATGCAGCAGCTCATGCCAGAAACATAAAACTCAGAAAACAAATGACGGCGTTCCTTCTAAGAGCTAAAAACTCCGCCCACCCCGGCCGGTTGATGGGGACAGGCAGCTCCACTCACTGACAGACTCACCGGTGGGCCCAGCTCTCCCTGCTTTCCTGGAGAGCCTGTACTTCCTGGAGATCCTGGAGCTCCCGGAGTTCCCTGAAGGAATGAAAAGCAATTTTTAATGATATTATTTTAATTATTATTATAAGTTCCTGTTGTACACGCCTGACTGAGCTTATTAGCCCTGCCCAGCCTGACCCAGTTCTATCATTATCACCTAAAGTCACAGTTTTAATTCAACTTTACATTTAAGTGCCTAACAGAGAAGCTGCAGGCAGTGCACGCATATATATCCTCTGAATCCTCCAAAACAGTCACA